ATGTTAGCTCTAAATATAAGATATAATTCTCTGTTTATCAATTTTTTTAAATTACATTTATTGATACTCCATCTACCATAATCAAGTAAAAGAAGGAGAGAGGATATTAAGAAAGATGATTATGGTATTATAGTATTAAGAAAAATACATTATTTCTTATAATCAATTTAGTTAAATAGGTCTTAAAAACAGAAGGAGTAATTAAATGGTATCAAGTCTGGGATCCTATCTCACTTCGATCCTTCAGTTCTATATATATTAAAAAAGCATTTAGGACAAGTATTTATATTTGTTATGTCAATTGTAAAGTCTTTAATTATACATAATTATGTATTCTATTTTTAAAATATTATTATATTATACATCTACATGAAAAAGAATAAAACACACAAATATATGTGATTAGAGAACTTAGCATAATGAATATAAGAAACTTGAGTATTTTTCTATAAAAAAAAAGAGAAGAAGAATGTGTTTTCAACTATATTATGAATGCTAACAAATTAAGTTACTCAATTAAAATGGTATAAAATATGTTAATATTTTTCTTCGCTCCCATTCATTAAAAAGTAATTAAAGACTCCTTCCCAAATCATAATTATATTTTTTTTTTTCCAATTTTCAAGAGGTTAGGGGATAAAACGGTTCAACTGTTAGAAAATATGACAAAGCTCTTGTAGATATATTGTGGGCTAGAGATACATTTAGTTTTTTCAGATAACACCACGGTATTTTTAAATGAAATTAGAATTGAGACTAATCCATTCCAGGCCACCAATAAGTGTTGGTCCAAGTGGAAGAGACTTAGACACCTTGGATTCGATCTTTGGGGCAGTATGTATAGAACAAATACTGTTAGGAGGGGTCCCCCCTACAGTACCAGATAGTATCCTGAAATATTAGTCTCTTACTATTCGGGTGGGAGGATACTCTGGGCAACAAAAAAAAAAATCCATTTCAGGCTGGAAAGAAATAACACTCCCAATAAATACACTTTCTAAAGTTTAAACTTGTGCTCTCTTCTCGTAGAGAGTGAAACCACTATCACTTCAATCAACAGTTTTGTTGGTAAGAAATTTTAGTTTTTAAAAATACATATAAAAATGAAGGGAATGTAAGAAAAAACTTCTCATGAAATGAGCTTTCTATTATGTCCTGATCCAAAATTTAAACTTTTGAGTCCTCCGGTTGTAAATATAAAATCCATTTGTAATGCAAATTATACTACAAATGAGTATTATATTTAGGACTAGTAGAATATTTATTTTTTCAGTGAAATTATATTATCAGACATTTGACTTTTATCCTCCTTCTCACATTAACTTATATATGCATGATTTCCCAATAAATGGATCCTTTGCTCTTTCTTAAAAAAAAAAAAAAAGTTGGCACGATTCATGCTTTATGAATCGATAATTTGACATTAAAAATGAATGTTGAAGATTTGATTCTATATTGATGATTTGGCCTTAAACGAATTATATACTAATTTTATTTTTAGTTTGGTTAAACAATTCATGTCACACACTTGTTGTTAAATAAGTCAACTTAAGCTAAAATGGTTCAATAAAGAAAAGATTATTAAAAAAAAATCATAGCTAATTTTTTTAATTAAACATGATAAATGTATTTTTTATGGACTGATAAATGTATGTCCTTAATAGTTATTTATTGAACTTATTAATTAAATTATTGAAAACCTACAATTTTTATATGGGTTGTGTTTGATTACATAACCGGATGGCGGATAGGCGGCTTGTCATTTTTGGTTCTATTTTTTTTAAGAAAAAAGAAATTAATTAGTTCTCCCATACCTAGATCCAGAAGCTGCAAAATAATTAATTAATATGATTACAAAAACAAATTACTGGAATTAAATTCAACATTTCAAGAAGCACCTCGATTCAGACAAGTCTATTGTTTTATTAATTTCTAGAGCACGCGTGACATGGATAAACAAGCACTAGCATGCATCCACTGACCGTAATGATTAAGCCTACCCAATTAAATTCAAAAGTTTATTGTTAATAATGCTGTATTATTGGTGTCAACTATACATATAGGGCCTATATACTTATTGTGAGAGAGATTTTTTGCTTTTTTTTTTGCACAATAATAAATACTATTTGTTAAATAGGAATAATGAACAACTTAAATGCTTAAACCTACAGTGCAAGTTTTCTTTTTTTTTAAAAAATGGATTTAAATTGTCACCATCTATTAATTACTCTCCAATTTTAAATGGCAAAACTATTTTGCATTTTACATACACATTTCCTAAATTTTTAATTTGATACCGATACTTTCCAAAAGTGTCCTTGTCATTTATTTGAGTGTAAATCTAATACTCTTCCGGTTTTTAATATAAAATCTAGTTAAAAATTGATATTGATACTATATGTAAAATTTATTTCATATGTTTATTAATTTTTTTCTAAATTAATCTTATTGATTTTTCCTCAACAATGATTAAATAGGAGAAGAAAGGAGGGAATTGAGAAAGATGATTAGAATTTTTTTTTAAAATATCATATTAACTAATTTAACTAATATCTTTAATCTACTTAATTAGTTAATTAAGTCTTACGTTAAACATCAGAAGAGTACCCCCATACTTAAATGCTACTACCTCCAATCCTAATTAAAAAAATCTCTGGCATGTTTCGTAACACAATATATTTTGTCCAGCTATTAATTTTTCCATCTAATATCCTTAACTAATTAACCAAACTCTTCTAGCTATTGATTTTTATTGGGAATAATTTTGATACTAATTTTAACTAATTTTATTAATTTATATAAAGTTATTATCATGTGCTTATAAATAAGCATTGTAAGAATTAATTTCCTTCACTAAGACAAATGCCAGTTGGTTTTAGTAAAATTATTTTTGACATGTGGATTATATTTTGCAGGATCATTACAAAATGTTAGTTAGCATTACAATTACAAATCAATTAAAAAAACTTGATTTAAATATACAATCGGTCCATTATTTCATTAGTCCATACTCATACCGACAAGAAGAAACATGAACGAATTGATCAAAAAACATTGAATATAAAACAATCATGACGAATCAAACTCAATGTCCCATGCAAGTAGAGTACTTGTTGGTGTAATTGTATATTGCTGGCTCAAAATGTAAGTATTAAATAGGATTTAATTTTTTTTTATAAGCTATAATCTAAATTTGTCTGATCATTTAATTTTTTTATTTTTACCCTTAATTAATTATATGTCTCTCTCATTTCTTTTGTTCATTTATTCTCTCTCAACTTCTTTTTCACTCATTCTCTCCCACTAGCCTCACCGTGAATAAAGGTGCTTGAGGATAATAAAATGCATTTTTCATATATTTATCGTCTTTAACTAATTTTAACTAACTTTTTAATTTGTATGATTTAATTATTTGATATTATATTAAAGACTGAAGGCAGTATAATTTATGATTGGATTAACAACCTCTTTTCTTTGTTCTTTCTTTGTTTTTTATTGTTGGCAAAAAGATATATATAATATAAATTAAAATCTATGTCAACTACATCTACACTATTTATAAATTAAAATAATATGATTAATTCAGAAAATTTTATGTAATACAAAAATTTTTTTTTGTTGGTGTACTCATTAGAAAGACTTGTCTAGTTTCATTTTAATTTGTCTATTATCAACATGTTTACATTCTTGATATTTTACATCCATCCATAAGCTTACATTGAATCCAATAATTATATTTAATTAGTTATGAAAATGATGAGCAAAACATCAAGAAACCAAAAACATGACAATTATATTTTTTTTATTTTCATCAAATGGATTTAAGAAATAAGCAAACCATCTAAAAGTGTTTTCAATATTTTGAAATATTGCTTTTTTAGTCTTTAAGAAATATTCTAATTTTTTGGCCAAAAGTAAATATTCTAGATTAATCTCATCAACATCAGTGTCATCAATATTAATTATCAACACTACCCTTATGAGAAGGGGAAAAAAATCAATTTAGAACCTATATTTTGACTCAATTATAATTTAGAAAAAATTATACTCAGGTCCCACATAAGATAATTAATTCAGAAAAAATCTCTAAAAATTCCGAAATGATTCTTAAGTCCCCAAAGACCTGTATGTAACAAATTATAATTATGAAATTACTTATTTGCCCCCACTAATTTTATTGTAGCAATTCATTTACAACCTCAACAGCGATTATCGACAACCCAAAGAGAAGTGGTTGACAACCTCGGCAGTGTCCTTAACAACTCACTCTGTGGGATACCAAGGGCATTCCCGAGGTTGTTAATTACTTCTCCTCGGGTTGTCAACAACTATCGTTGATATTGTAAATAAATTGTATTGGGTTCAAATTAATAAGGGTAAATAGGTAATTTTACAATTAGAATTTATTACACACAGGTCCCCAGGAACTTAGGAATCATTTCGGGATTTTGAGGGACTTTTTATGAATTAATTGTTTTATGTGGGACTTGAATGTAATTTTCCTTATAATTAAATGTCTGAATTTTAATTCAATATATGTTATTTATTCTCTCAAATTTTAGACCTTTTATTTGTTAGTTCCTAAATTTTATAACTCAATTTTAAATTCAAGATGCAAAAGACTAAATATTTTTCAAAGCCTAAAACCTAATTTTAACTATTGAATTATAATTTAGTCAAAACTTAATTAATTCTTTCCTATGAAATATAAGAGAAGTTAACAATGCAGATGATTTTTCAATTTTTATGAGTCAACATTTTTGGCTAAATTAGACTAATTGTGCTAATATTAAGAGATTAAATATGCATCAAATAAACTTAAAACTGAATTATACTTTAGTCTTATTTTTTTTCTTAACAATATTTAAGATTCCAATTTTAAAATGTTAATTTATCAATCATATCAAACAGTTTTTCCCTCGTATTGACTCTGTACATATACTAGCATTACCAGCCACCACAACTCTTCCTCTATAGTGTTGCGCACATTGGCACCCAACACGACGTTCTCCAAAGTCTGAAACTTTCTCTCTCTTTCTCCAAAATCTGAATCCTTTTCCTCCTCCTCCTCCTCCTCCTTCTCTCTGTAATCTGATTTTTGAGATCCTTATTCCTCTCATCCACAAATGGGTTTTTCAAAGCGTGGCCACAGATTCTTCAAATTCAGAATCATAATTCTGTCCCTGTCTCCCATCTCTGGTCATTTCATTATCTGAACTGTTCAATCCATTCAAACTCTCTCCCTCCACAATTATCTTCAGCCCTGTCTCTCTTTCTGTCTCTCTCTGTCCCCCCAAAGCCCTAGGGCTCATAATAATCCCACCCCTCCAATTCAAAAGATCTCTCAAAGCAGAGGCTTTCTTTTAGCTCTCTGCTTTTCCCTCCTCTCACCCAAATGATTTCCCAGAAACACTACGAGCTTTCTCATGTCGCTGTTGAAATGGCCTCCATCATGTTAAGTATAGACTACTCGAGGCTCTTCTGGTTATTGTTTGGCGTCTTCTGTTATGAGAATTACGAGGGGAAACCCCGGATTTCCTAGTACAGTGCCCTCTCTGTTCCTTCTTCTGTTCATATACTTGCAAACTCTGTTTCTGAACTGAATTTATTAATATTAGGATTTCCGTTCTTATATATATACATATACACACGTGAAGCATCGGTTCGATCAATATTTGTTGGTTGGGTTTTTCTGGGTTGAAGTCCCCTGCCATGAACAAGATGAGATTAGGAGGCATGGGCGTGGCTCAGATTCATTATGTTGAAACAGACCCATCTGGAAGATATGGAAGAGTAAGATTCTGATTCCTTTCTTTGTAATTGTTCCCTCTGGTTGACTTTTTTTTTTTCCTGGGTAATAATTGATGCTTCATGGACTTATTGAATATAGGAGGATATCAGTGAGTTGGTATATATGATGGATTTGCTGATCAATTCGATCTAATTAAGAGCAGAATATGTTAGATGCTTGCTGAAATTGAATTCACTAGAACTATGTTCGATTTTAGACATAGACCACTATGGTGGAACTTTGTAGGATTAATCAGCCTACATGTTAATCCAGGGAAAAGGTCGATCTCTTTTCTTCTTTATCAAATTTTTTAATTAGAAAAACATCAAGCACGATATTTCCCAGTGGGCATGACATCATTAGACCCCTATTGTTCACATGACATGTCTTCCTCACTTTCTCACGCCTGGTCAACCCTCTGGCTCGCCAAGGGCCAAGAGTCACTCTTGAGAGATGAAAACTAGATATGTGAAACTTAATTAATGATATCTAATTGAGACATTAATTAGTGGGTTAATAAATGATAATAACTCGTGTTCTTATGATTATTGTTGATACAAGCAGTTCAGGGATATTCTGGGAAAAGGGGCGATGAAGATTGTTTACAGAGCATTTGATGAGGTGTTAGGAATTGAAGTGGCTTGGAACCAAGTCAAGCTTGGAGATGTGTTTCATTCACCAGATGAACTGCAACGTCTTTATTCAGAGGTTCATCTGCTCAAGAACCTTGATCATGACTCTATCATGACCTTCCATGCTTCATGGATCGATGTCCATCACAGAACCTTCAACTTCATCACTGAACTCTTCACCTCCGGCACGCTCCGAGAGTAATAATCCACCATCTCTTATTTGCTATAATCTTTGATTTGATTCTTTCTCAAACTGGGAAACTATCTGTTTTTCATCTTATAATGAGGTTTAAACACATATATATAGGTATAGGAAGAAGTACTGTAGGGTAGATATTCGAGCTGTGAAGAACTGGGCTCGTCAGATTCTTAGTGGTTTGGAATATTTGCACTGCCATGATCCTCCTGTGATACATAGAGACCTCAAGTGTGATAATATCTTTGTCAATGGCCACCTGGGGCAGGTCAAGATTGGCGATTTAGGCCTCGCCGCGATCCTCCGGGGCTCTCAACATGCCCACAGTGTCATAGGCATTGATTCCGTCTCCCTCTTGCATAGTAATTATAAGCAATTTAATGATCAATCTAATTCTAAATCCAGCTAAAAAATTTTTCTCTATTGTGGTGTTAAACTTCAGGCACTCCTGAATTCATGGCTCCAGAACTGTATGAAGAGGAATATAATGAACTAGTAGATATATACTCCTTTGGGATGTGTATGATTGAGATGCTTACCTCCGAGTTTCCGTACAGCGAGTGCTCCAACCCGGCGCAAATATATAAGAAAGTCACTTCAGTAAGATTCATTGGACATTTAGTTGGTCTGAATTTTTTTTCTACTTTGATCCGAGATCTGTTCATAAACCTTAGGTAATTTGGTTCATCTCAGGGGAAGCTACCAGATGCATTTTACAGAATCCAAGATTTGGAAGCGCGGAGATTTGTGGGAAAATGTTTGGCAGATGCATCGAAGAGATTGCCAGCAAAGGAACTCTTGTTGGATCCCTTTTTAGCCACGGTCCAACTGGAATCACCACCACCATGCCTGCCATCACCAAAGATTCAAACTCACAAGTCCAATTCCAATTCAGGAGTCGCCAAGGTGCATTCTACTTCCATGGCTGATCAAACAAAGGGCACAAACATGACAATAACGGGGACAATGAATGAAGAAGATGACACAGTTTTCCTTAAAGTGCAAATATCTGACAAAACTGGTATGCATGCAGTTTTCATATTCAAAATTGCAGCCTCGGACCCATAATTTTTTTTTTTTTTCAATTTCAAGTATGTAATTTCAAGAGATGTTTTATGAAAACAGGACATGTTAGGAACATATACTTCCCTTTCGACACCATAAATGACACTGCAATGGACGTGGCCGTTGAGATGGTTAGGGAATTGGAAATAAACGACTTGGAGCCATTGGACATAGCTCAAATGATAGAGGAAGAGATAATAGCTCTGGTTCCAACTTGGAAGGACTGGGGCACTTCTCAGTGTCCACGTCAGCACAGCTTTAGATATGAAGAAGAAGAAGAAGATGATATTAGCAACCACCATCCTTTTTTCTCATCTTCCTCACGATCATCCTCTCATGGTTCTCTCCCAGTGCTTAGCTTCTCTAGCAAGAACCTCTTTGGTGGGAACAATAACCATTTCTCACTTTCTCAGGATTGGCTTCAAGGTATACACAAGACAGACCTTCATATAATAACAATAAAATTAATCTTTATCTGAATTTATTCTCTGAAATCTGAACTCTTCTGCATAACCAGATGCTGCCTTTCTTGACGATACAAGCTCAGAAAGCTCCATGAATTCCTTCAAGTATGCTAACATGAATCAATGCGAGGTGGTGGGCATCGAAGATGAGAGTGATGAAAATTACAAGTGCTCAAGATTCTGTCCTGCGCAAGAGATGGAAGCCAATTGCAGTAAGCAGATGAGCTATCGAAGAACAGCAGATTGCTGCCGGAGATGTGGTGATCATCGGCCAACGAGCATGACGAGGATGCGGTCGTATGTGGACGTGAGGAGCCAGCAGTTGCAGAGATCGTTAATGGAGGAGATACACAAGAGAAGGATGTTCAAGACGGTAGGGGCCATTGAGAATATTGGCTTTCTGGATCCCACAACCACATGGAAGTCTGGTTCTTAAAGAAGCAAGGAGGATATGCTTCAATTTCCACGTTGAAGCCTCATGGATTTTGGGATCATCTTCTTATAGCTTTGGCTGGGTTTTTTTTTTCAATACTTGTCGTCGTGCTTTGCTTTCTGGTTTCTGATGTCCTGTTATACACAATAGGGGCATTGTCTGAATCTTCCACTTGATTGTAAAGAACATTATATAAATATCTGGAAATAAGCCATCATGATATCAACTTCTTAAAATGATTAAATGATAGCAAACTGTACAGGGATCCTCAATAAGAACAAAAGAAGACGACTTTAAAATGCATTGCTGAAGGGTCGAACAAAACTGGAGCTATTCAAATAATCAGTCAAAGCAAAATAAACGCAAATTTTCAGCCTGGCTTACTTTCTCGACGGACCTATAAGAAATAACATATATATATATATATATATATATATTTGGGGATGCGCAATATTTAAGCACTGTTCAGAATCAATATTTTATAAATGGACTTGTGAATCAATATTTTATAATCAAAATTAAATTATATTTTAATCTAATTTTAATCTTGAAGGATTATGTGAGACCACAGACACACACACACACGAGTACATGATTCTAAACAAAAAAATCACCAAATACAAAAGCCCAAGGACACGAATCTTAATATGGTGCAGGAGCATGATTGCATGAATGATCTCTTGGCTTACATAGTATAGTTAGTTCCACAGGACGGAGCGAGAAAATCCGAATTTTGTGCTCTAGTTTGTTTCCGGTCAATCTTCTACCCTAAGGACTCGATGTGAAATCATCAAATTTACCAATTCTAGCCAGCGATCGTCGTTAAGACCAGACCTGCGCTATCTCTAACCCATACTTGAAGGTTGAAACAAGAAGTATTCACTGCTGCATTTCTACAATTTGATTCGGTCATCATTTTCAGCAATCACCAGCAAGCGTCATGCCACTAACGCGCTGCCGCAGCCAGTTACCGGTGCCACCGCCGTCTCCGGTGCCTACAGCAAAAGGATCACGGAACGCCGCGAACGAACCCCTGAGGCACTACCTGGACAACACAATACAGGACCTTCCGGAACTAACGCTGCCGGACGCACACATGCCGGCAGCTATGAGAAATCCAGCCCTGCCCGCGGTGATCGATTACCAGAAGCTAAAAGGAGGGACAATGGACACGGTGTTGAGGAGATCGGCGAAGGCGTTCGGAGCGTTCGGGATCTGCGGTCATGGGATTTCAGGGCAGGATTTGAGATTCATGGTGAATGAAGCTCGCCGCCTCTTCGAAGACTCCGACGCCCACAGCCACAACAACAAGCGCCACCGTCTTAAAGACACAATCCCCTGCGTTCGTTCTCGCAAGGGCACACTTGAATTCACGGCTCCCAAATTCTTGGATGATCACAAACACCGCAAATTTTGGTATATAGATATAATGTTGTTGTATATATGCATATAACGCGTGAGAGAGAATAAATGGAAAGAGGAATTGAAAGGGATGAATATTGGGAAAGTGCAGGATACAAATGGGGAGCGTGGGAGGGAAACTGGAGGGAATAGTGGAGCAGGTGATAATGGCGCTGTCAGAAGAATTGAAGGGGACGATGATGATGAGGATGGAAGAGATGGAGAGCGTGACGTGCGTGTGCAGGTATCCACACGACGACGATGATGAGGGAGAGCAAAACGACACGTTGTGGGATCATGCCTTGCGTTTTTACCTTCCCACGGAACACTGCATCTTCTACGTCCAATCCCAAAGAGGTCCACTTTCCTTTGATGCTGCTCCCCACACCATTGTTGTCACCCTTGGCAAACAACTTGAGGTATGCACATATCTCATACTCATCAAACCCACTCTGCTCTGCTTTAACGAGCCTTTCCTGTATATTCCACATCTATCTATCAGCCATTGCATTTAGTTTACTTTAAATAATTTTATAGTACATGAACTACTAACTTTGATTTTTAATGTAAAAGCTAATTTGATATTTAATTTGGTCTTAAATATAATATCGTAGTTCATTTTGTTTTTCATATTTATCTATTTTTTTAAAATAGTTCTTCTAATAATTATACGTGTTAAAAGTTTTATCAAATGATAAATATGTAAATAATATATATACTACCTCCGGTCCTAATTATAAGACCTTATTTGTTGATCTACAAACGAGATCTTATAATTAGAACCGAAGGTAGTATACATTTAGTGTGACCAAACAGTAAGAATTATATTATTTGACACTTATTTGGTTAATCAGTCGGAGTTGTGAGTATTAAATAAGCATCTGAACTCAGTAGAAACTTTGTTATTTCTTATGAAATACTCTTCCAATCTTAAATGTAAAACTTATTTTATAGTGTATTCTAAATGTAAGACCTACACTATAAAATATGTCTTATATTTAAGACTAAAAGAATATAAAATTATACTCCATAAAAGTCATTAGCTAGAAGAGGTTTTTTTTTTTCAGCATTAGCTAGAAGAGTTGGATTGATTAGTTAAATCGTCCTCTAATTAATTAGGAATGGGCGGGAAAAACTAATATGCTTAGACAAAACATGTTGCATCATGAATCACATCGGAGGTGCTTAGTTATAATTAGAGTAGGAGAAAGTATATGATTACAAGCAATCTCAAACAAATCAAGGATGGAGTCCTATTAAAATAATGCTAATCTACCCATAAAATTTAATAGAAAAATCACAAAAAATACCTATTAAATTTTAAAATTCGAAATCATTCTTGTTTATTAGCTTCAATAGCACTTGACTATACTTGAAAAGCAAATGACGTAGATTTTTGTAATAATTCCTGATTTAGAATTTTGAAATTCAATAGATATTTTTTTGGGGATTTTTCCAGAGTTGATTAAATCAGGGGAAAAAATATAATCCACATCTCAAACAAATCAGGTATTTGTGGGAAAATGATATTTAATCCTCCTAAATAATTACAATTTTGGTGCTCATTCTAAATTAAATCGTGTGGGTATAAATGTGGACAGGAATGGAGCGAGGGAAGATTGAAATGTGTTCGAGGGGAAATGATATTCATGCCAAGCAGAATGGACGGAAGTGATGCCTCTTTCTCCATAGAGCTCAAGTGTTCCTCTTCCCATCCCAAATACACTTCTCATCCTCATCAACCTGCCACCGTCATCACCTTGCTTGATCAGCTTCTTTTCCTACTTTGCATCTCTTTCTTCTATAAATTCCTACACTTTATCTTCTAATTTCACACCTCACATCATGCATCCTAGCTAATTATTTTACACAAACCCATTATGAAGTTTAATTTAACTGATTAAGAGCTTATCTGAATTAACGTCTACAGCAGTAAGTTTTATCCCAAGCGATAATTATTACAAATTAAAATTGAGGTGAAAGTAAATTTGTATAACGTAATTCATGCTTAGATATGTTTGAAAAACTCAAATTAACAGAAACTTGTTTAAATGATACTACCTCCGGTCCTTAATATAAGAGCTAGTTAACTAATTTGAGTAGATTAAAAAAACTAATTAAGTTAGTTATTTGTAATAAATAGGTGTCATCTTTCCTAAAATATCCTTGTTAATCAAGTATATTGATTAGAACTATCATTATTATAAAGATTAACTTGGAAATAAATAACATGTTCAAAGTAGTGGTTTCCTTCACATAGATTTTATTGCAAAGTATTTATTTTGAGATTAATAGGTAAAAATGGTTTTTAAGGTAAGCCAATCTTTTTATTTTTTTTGCTAAACATATGTGTCTTTTATTGGAGATAATATTATTTAAGATGTTGTTTGACACTAAATATGAATACCTCTCTTTGTGAGCATTCGAACTTTAGTTTATCACTAAGCCAATTTTCAATTAAATAATTCAAATGACTTAATTAATATTGGGCTTACAGAGCCTGGGCATGGGTAGGGCCTTTGAGTGGAATGATGAGAGGGATAATGATTGAGTGAAGGCCCATTGTTGACTACTTTATCATTCGACATGATTTGGACAATGCCATGTAGTCTGAGATTCCCAGTTTCATTTTCTTTTGTTTTTTTTGTACTATAAACAATTTGCACACATTTTTTAATGAGCTGTATAATTTATTATAATCTTATATTTCCTGTGTACTAATGAAATATGGGTATTATGTATATTCACAAAAATAGGACTCGCAGATATTTATATCCAGTTTCGTGATATAATTTCATCCAGAATATATCATGACCCGTTATTAAACTAACGGAAAACGAACTTTACCGTAAAATAAAAACAGTCACTATTCTATATATAGCCAAATCTGCACTAAGTTACACTATTAATAAATCATAGAAAAAAATACGGCTTATTTCTTAAACTCCTTACCCTTCACACGAAAAGTGTATAATCAGTACTATCGATTTTAATTATAAAATTTTATTTATAATTTATAAATAAGGTTTTATAATAAAGACAGAAGGTAATACTACCTCCGGTCCTTAATATAATATTCTGTTTAATTTTTATTTTAATCCTAAATATAAGACCCAAATCCACTTTATCTCTCATATTTATGTATTTTTTTCCAAAGTAGTTCTTCTAATAATTGTAGTTCTAACCAATATAGTTGATTAGTAAGGATATTTTAGAAAAGACAACACCTATTTATTACAAATAACTAACTTAACTTTTTTCTTTAATCTCTTCAAATTAATCAACTGGATGTTATAATTAGGACGTATTATTTTTTTCTGGAGTCTAATCAAATATTAATTCCACGATTCTTTTGGGTAAGTTTTGCAACCAAGTGAATATTCCAATCAAAGATTTCATAGATAGCTGTAAGCAACCAATTAATGACAGGACACACACACGCATGCAATACTTTAATGTACAGCAAAGCGGAAGTTAATCCAGAAAAAGTTGAGGGGAAAGTTAATTTTGCTTTATTATGTCAACATCATTAAAAAAGAATTGCTTCTTCCATTTGCTTAACACCACTTTTACAAAATTATTTCTTTACTTGTCATTTAAAATTTTTAAGATTTATTTTATTTTTCGGCTTGTAAAGATTTTTTAGGATATATAGTTCTAATTTTTCACTTATACTTTTTTATTCACTAACTTTAATTATGAAGCTGGAGATATGATTATATAAAGAAAATATATAACAAATTAATGACAATATATATTACAATATTTCAAAGCAAATTCATTATATTAACGATATTCTTTAATTTATGTAGTATG